CAAAGTGGAGCCTGAAGGTGTGCTAAGGAAGCAGAGCAAATAGCAAGGTATCTATATAGAAGGAATTTTCTGATATAATTTTGTACTGTATGTATTGGTATTTACCAACTTGAGCCACATGGCAAAATTTACAACTGAAACATCTGGAAAATTTTGGAAATGAAAATAAACACAAGAGGTGGGAAAGACAAAGATCAGCAAAAGCTGGAAATAATTTAATTTTTCAACCTGCATGCAGTTAGGATATTATACTTTGAAGGGAACTGTCAGAGAAGCAAGATTCTTCTAATTCCCATTCATATGTCTATTGCCTTCTTACATCACATCTCCCTCAGTCTGCTTCTTAACAGTGCTCGGTTAGTTCAGAGGAATATGCAGCTCTTAAGTGGAAACTAAAGGAAGAATTTTGTTGGTTTCAGTGTCCAACTTTGTTGATAAAGGCAGAAAATGAAGCAGATAAGATTGTACATATAAGTGGACCAGTGCATTTACAGCATTTGGGGTCTGTTTTTTGTTTTGTTTTGTTTTTTCCTTAGGGACAAATACAGCAGGACAACAAAATACGAGAAGCGTGTGAATGTTCTATTTAAAAATGAACTGATTGACTTCTCTATATTTTACTATTGTGTAAATCCAATGAAAATATTCAAAGACTGTGTTAAAATTCTTTACGTTTTTTTATTTGGATTTTGATATTTTTTATTTCTGGAAAATAGGAGTTCATTGTTAATTCTGGGAAGATTTTTCACCATGAGTGATTTTTCAGCTTCTTTGTTAGAGGACCTTTTCCTTCTACAAGTCCTTAGTGAATACACTAATAAATAGTAGGTAAAATGTTGCTTTGTTATTCCTTTGTGCTGCAAACAAAGAAGATTGAGTCTAATTTATGAAAACACATCTACCTCATTAAATATTTCACATATGGCAAAAAGTGTAAAAAGGATAAAAAAAAGTGTATTTCTGGGCACATAAACGGCAACTCAAATGGGACACTATGGATTTAAAAACCTTAAGCAGGAATTTATCTGAATCAAAGCAGATGTGTCTTTGTTTTACATCACTAAGTTCTGCATAATTTAGTAGGATGTGAAGAGTGCTATTTTTCTATGCGACAGTGCCAAATGTTTTGCAGATGCTAAGGTTACTGATACTCTTGAACAGTGGGAAGTAATTTTTTATTTGCAAAAGCTGAAAAAAACATGGAAAGAATTTTCATGTCCATCTTCTTGAGAACCTAAAAAGAATCTCCAATGAGGAGTAGAGTTTCTCTTACAAGAAATAAACATTTCATTATATTACTTTCCTCTGGAAATAATGAACTAAATTGGTAGATACACCAACCTCCATATTTAATACTAGACCAGGCTGCCAGGGTCCTATCCAACCTGGATGAAGTTTGATGTGTTTTAATTTTGCCTATTACTTCTGATCTTGTCTGTGAAAACAGATGAGAAGAGCCTTTGCATCCTTGCTTCCTTCCATTTCATCTGACAGACAGTAATCCTCTGAGCATCTCATTCTCCAGGCTGAAAAGTCTCAACAATCTTTGCCCTGCTTTGCATGGTAGAGGCTCTACGGTCTTCGTTATCCCTCATCTTGAGTGGGATTTGCTTTAGTAAATCCATGTCTTCCAGCACATAGGACCCAGAACTTTAGATACTGGGTAGAGAAAAAAGATCACCTCCCTCAGCTTGTGGCAGTGCTCTGCCTTATGCAGCCCAGAAGGCTATTAGCTTTCTTACTTTACCATGAGGGAGCAACTCATGATTATGGACACCTTGTTGTCTATTAGGATTCCAGCTGCTTCTTTGCAGAGTTGGTTTCAAGTCTGTCAGCCCTGCGACAGTAATACTGTATTGTGAAGACGAGCTTGAGACTCTAAACAAAAGTGTCCTCGGATAGAGATGTGTCCATCCCTTCTGTCTTGTAAACTTAAACGATTAAAATATTTAAGGCTTGATATCTACAAAGGAACTTATTAGAAAACACTGATTAAAATTTCCATTGCCTTTTGTTTCTGACATTTTTGCATGAAGCTCTTGCTTGTGCACTGAAGTAACTTGCCAAGTTTGTACTTTGCTAATCCATATTCATGTATTTATGTCACTTTGACAGTACTGTCTCCTGTTTATTTCCATGGAAACTACAGCAGATACAAAGAACACAATAATGCTGTTTGATAGACCACATTCTCATCTACAAAATACTATTTTTCAACATAGTTGCCATCACTGGCCACGCATTTTTTCCACTGATGAACAAGAGCCTGAATTATGCCCTCATAAAAATGTGCACTAGCAGAGGTGATCCACTGTTGCTGTGCCATTGCAGAAGCATACCACTACCACCACACTGTGCTCATATCCACGGATTGGTCTCCATAAGTGTTCAGCAAGCACTGATGAATGCCAAAGGAGTAAGTTTGTTGGGCTTTTTAGTTTGTTTGTTTTGTTTTGTTTGTTTTTGTTTGTTTTTTTTTTGTTTGTTTGTTTGTTTTTTTGCACAGAGGATTTCATTTACACAACTTTGTTTCATGTGCACTTCCATGTCAGATGCCCTTTTGTCATGACTGCCCCTCTGCTGACATCTGCAACAAAATTCTACGGAATGTTGCCAGTCAGCCTCTACTACACCAGCATCTCCCACTTTAGGCCTGTTTGTCATACTTCCTTCCACCTGTGAAATGGTTGATACTTCCTTGTTTGGGGGGCGTAGTGAGTTTCAACTAAGCTATTCTATAAAAAATATTTTCAGACACTTTAGCAAAAGACATGAAAGCACAATGTATTTTTCTGTTCCTAAATAAGGTGACTTCCACTGGATTCTTTGCTCCCTTTGGTGCATTTTCTCTTCTTCCTGCTGTCTTCTCATTTACTCTCACAGTGAAGTAAATTGGCACCTTTCCTATCCCTGCAGAACAGCTTCAGATTAGACTGGGAACTTAAAGACAGTTTGAGGAATAAATTCTGTCTCTCTTTATTGGTCAGTAGATTGCAGTTCTGTGTTTAACACATAATAATATCTCTATAGAACCTACCATATGAGACCCATCATCTGCCGCTGCCTAATTGGTTGATGTTTCCCATCCATTTCCATTTCAACCCTTGTGGATCTTAGATCTTTTTCAGCAGGCTGAATGTTATACTTTTTGAAAGATAGGTTTTACCAACAGTCATATTTGTCGACTTGTATAACGTGTCCAGTATGATTGTTTGTGTGGAGAAAGAGATATCTATTGAAACTAAATGACACATTTCATAGTATGAATGACCTATTAGGTTAGTTAGACACAGCGACATTCAGTGCCAGGCATTAATAATCTCTTTTACATACATCAGCTTGTGACAGCTGCAACTGAAGGTTTAAAGCCTCAGAGCTTTCTTGAATAGACTGTGCCCTGAGCAGAGCTGAGCTGTCGAGCTGACGGAAAGCAATTGTTCTCTTTACAGAGGAAAAAACAGAAATAAAACTGCAACTCTGCCTGCTCACTCTCTCGTTCTGTTTATCTGCACTTCCCTTCTGCTTTTGTGAAACGCTGTTGTTGCTAGCACAGTCTGTACAAATGGCAGGACATTAAAAGCAGAGGATCTGAAAACTAACACCAAGGGAAGCTAGCTTGTAATTCGTTCTTTTTTACACACACTAAAAGTAAGGTCAGAGACTTGTTTCCACCAAAGTAACGTACAAGTTGCAAGGAGTGTTTCGTATGTGTGTACACAACCAAAACACACAAGTTGTAGAAATAGTTTTATTTCCCTAAAAGGATTTATTTTCCCTAAAAGGATATCTTGTAGTGATAAACAAGTGTTTATTATAGAATAATAAATTGTCCTATTCTAGGAGAATTGGTGTTAAATTGTGTTTTCATAAGAGAGACAGAATTCAGAAAACACTGCTGTCATAACAGGTAGTGGATAGAATTAAAAATAACAGTATTTAATCACGCTTGCCTTGTTTTCTATTGGTAAAAGACTTTTCACTGCAGTTGCCTCCATAATACAAACTTTCTGAATTGATTTGCATTGAAACAAAGTTAGATTTTCAAAATACACATAAATATTTTGCTACATGTCATGTGTGAAGTTTCATTCAGGTTTAGTTGGTGTTATTTCTATGCAAGTACTATATGAATGTAGTGCGCATCTATGAGCAAGCATAGAGTATAAATCTGTTGCATTCATCTCCTTAATAACAAATATATATAATGAGCCAGAGGAGAATATTCTATTAAGTAAAAAATGGATTTGATTGCTGCTGTTTAATATCAGAAATAGAAACTGTAGCTAAAAGGTGCGATTTAGGATTTATATTCACTAATAACTGAACTTCTATAAAGAAGTCTTATATATTTAGTAAGTTAATGGTGTAATTCATCACTTTATTTACAGGAGTTTCTTTCTCTAACTTCACCTAAACTCAGATTATAAATATGAAAGGAGAACATACTACAATCTCAATATTCTTTAGTTCTGTGTAAAAATAACCAATACTCATAAGTCCAACACAGAGAGGTGTTAGAGAAATATCCATCTCATGCATTTTCTTCCAACAAGAGAGTTGACTACTGACCCTATATTTTGTGTGAATGTGCCTCATACTGCACTGTTATTTATTGATTTGATATTTCTCTTTATCTTTTGCACTCTGAGGATTAAGTATTTTTTGCAAACTTTCTTTTTTGGGTGGAAATAAGGATTATTTCTTTTTCTTCTCCGAAGCACTCAGAACCCTAAACTTAACATTCACTTTTATGAAAAATTAAGCAAAAAAAGATTCATTTTATAAAAGTAGCAGTCAAAAACTGATGAAGAAAACACCTTATTCACTAACCTTGGTGTGTGTAAGTTTGACAAAAAAGGGCATAGATGGCTGTGGGAAAAGAAACACAGTGGCATACTGAAGTGAAAATATTTTCAGTATGTTTGAAAGGGAAATGATATTTGTTTCAAATGAGCTCAGTAGACAGAATGAAGAAAACCATTCGGGGAAAGCTCAGTTATTTCAGTTGCTGATAGCTGCAAAGTTTCCTTGCTGCCTGATTGCAAGGGAAGTTATCTTTACCAGCGTTTCTTAAGTTGCCATCCTCTTCTAATTTCTGTTCTCTGTCCATCAATAAAACATGAGCCATTTATCTGAAAAAAGAAAGAAGTGTTACACAATTGTATCTAAACTGTCGTGTGGGAATACTTATCTGCAGTAGCTCACCTCCCAGAATGGTCCTTTGCCTCCTTTCTCATTCATCTTGCAAGCCTTATGAGCGCGGGTAAGTAAACTGAATGCCCAGCATAACCTGCAAAAGATAAATTAAACATACTGTATAAATACATTTTTGGGTTAGTGGGAGAACAAAGTTAGTGATCATTTTAGTTAATATTGCAGTTTATTTTTCTGTGACTGCATTAAAATCATCCCTTCATGTAAATATGGTAATTCTAGAGAGTTTTATGCATTTTTAAGCCAATAAGAAGATAGTTAGTTTTACCAAGCTTACAAATCTTTGACAAAAATGTTTAAGGCTTTCACTCAAAGCCTTCTGATTGAGACATAGCAGATCCTCCTACATTTTTGTGGATTCAAAGAGCTATATGGTAAAACATGAGCATAAACAGCCAATAAAGAAAATTGGAGCTCAATTAAGGTGAAGATACCACTTTGTACATAATCAGAATTTATTTTAATGCTTAGAGTTTGTTTTAAAATGTCTCTGTGTAAGATAACAATGCAGAGTTTTGGGTGGGTTTGTCTGTTGTTTGTTCGATTATTTTATTTCATGTTTTCTTGTGTTTTGTTTTTGTTTTGTTTTTAATCACAGTTAAAGACTGTTGAGATGTTAGCATTGGTGCTAGTGAGATGTTTGCTTCTGAATCCAGTACACATTTGTAACGCACATGTTATCCAAACTGCAATGTATGCTCCTGAATGTAGCCTGCCTTACATATGAAAGAAATATTATACTGTTATACTTACTGCAATGTGAGCATAATAAAAATTAAACACTGCTGCCATTGTTTTTGCACTATTGCTCCACATGTTATTTTTCTTCTTGGCATTCCCTGAAAAGCACTTTTGTATCTGGACTAACAGAAAACCCTGTCAAGATAGCATGGATGTCTTTTTGCTATAACTTATATTTTTGAAAAGTTCAGAATGTTTCTTCTTGGTTTAGTTAAGGTAGGCATCTTGCTGCATCTTTCCACTTACTACCTTTGCTGTGATTTAAATACTTCATTGGGAAAATATTTAAGCCTCTCTGCAACCTCAAGCACATGTATAGAACATAATAAGCTACTTTCTTGCAATCCTCATTCACTTGAAGTACTCTAAAGCACATGAATGAACCCACTCACACACTCCAAACCATTTTTTCCTCATCAGCCTTGTCCCACTCATAGATATTTTATTCCTCGGAACTTTCTGTACAGCTCAGTGCTATGTGCTGTGGCATAGGGAAAGCTGTTAAGGGAGCTCCCAAATAGGAAGCTGAAGCTGAATCTTCTTAAGAGGAGGAGAAGGTGTGACAGACCCTCAAGTTTTCAGATACATGGTCCTGCTGCTTAGCTATTTCATTTCCAGAACACAAAGCCCTGCTGTGCCCAGGTGTAACTTTGTCAAAAACTGAACATTTTCTCCTGCCAGAAGGAATGTGTTGGTTTGTTATTTTTGGCATTCTGATCCATCTCTACAGTATATAAAACAGTGGTATGAAAGTATTTAACCTCCTCATGACTAGGCTTAATCAACACTGAGTGTTTAATTGTTGAAGCCAAGGAAAAAAATGCAGGATGCCAAGAGGTGAAACCAGCAATGCCTAATGAACTTAAATTTCCAGTGAGCAAGCATTTCTAGGATAGCTTGGAACACTCTGGGAATGCAGATCTTGTTTTCTAGGCATTACTTTTGAGCACACATACTTAAAAGCAACCTAAATATTTTATGGAATAAGATAACGGACTGAGACAACAGCAAAGCAATTACATGGCTATTGTGTTTCTTAGGAGATCCCTTCCATCTACTCCGTGCAGCTGTAGATATAGCAAGCTTTCAGAAGCCTCTGAAAAATTCTCCATACAGAAGATGTTGACAAGGTACAGAGCTATGTCCTGGTTACAAGCAACTGCTAGTAGAATTATTTCAGAACATTCTTGATGGCAATCATGCAAAGGAAGGTTTAATATAAGCCTAAAGAGTGGCCTGTTTTTTTTTTCATTAATCAAGAGATTCTTTCTTGTATAATCTTTCTGTCTCACTGATTTTTGTCATAATCAACAAATCAGAGTGGAAAAATACAGTCATTCCTAAGATGTCATTACTCTATTCCTAAATGATGTTTTTTTAATACAAACTTTTACTTTATGATACCTATAGGCTAACTATTCTGGTATTTTACAACAAGAACATATCAAAATTGGGAAACTCTCAACAACACACAGTGATGTATTTTTCTGTAAGGAATCACTCAGGATTTTACTGTGCCAGCCAGCAGAAATTCAGCAATCCTGCTATGGTAATTTTCAGCTATTCATTAACCCAGTAATGCACACCCACACTTGGCATGGAAAATGTGGTGTGAAACAACAGCAGATGATGGATTATGATGATGGTAAATAACAATGATAATGGCTATTGATTTTTTCTTTTCTTTTTTTTCTTTTTTTTTTCAGGATCTGCACTGCATAGAGTATGTGTAAACAGTGATGCAAACAGCTGTTGTTACTAGATATGGTGAATTCACATAAAGAAGCTGGACATTTGCAATTTTTTCTATTCATAGAGGTCAGAAAAGTCAACTCTCTCATATGAATAGAGTTTAATATATCCTGTATTGCTCCTCTTTCCATCTCTGGTTGGAAATCTGGTTGATATTTTAAGAAGTTATTTTGTAAAAAAAAATAAAATAAATTACTACACTTTATCATTTCAGCCATCAACATTTTATAATAATGATTTAGGAATTCATTTGAATGCATTTCCTACTGCTGAAAATGAAAGAAAATTCAACCTAGTTTTTGGTGGGGCAGATGTTTGCTAAGAAATAAATGACCTTTCTCGCCAGTTCAGATTCTTTAATTTTTAAAAGTTTTCCAGTAGCACATACATAATGATCCCCAAATGTTAAACTAGTAGCATGATATGTATATAAAGCAGCATTTCAAAACCCACATATGCATGGCTAGCATGTGTTCCAGATAAGATAAAAAGTAACTATGTGAAATTAAAAAGAACATTTGTTTTCTTGGTTAATTCCAAGACTCTTCAAGCTATAACTTTAATGTTTCATTCTATCCAACCTCAGAAGGACAGTTTAAATGAGGGACGGTAAGAGAGGTTTGGAATATGAGAACTCCAATAGTAGTGTACTAACAGGAACATATCTTATTTCTTTGCTTTCACCTTGCCTGTTAATTAGATAGCATTAGTATTACTGATACTGTTTTCAACCCTGAGCAGCTGCAGTCATTTCCACCCCAGCTATAAATTAAAGGTCTTGATTTTCTTCACAATGTCTAATTTCTTTCTCAGTGCATTGAGGTTTAATGCTGAGCTGGGGCAAGATCCATCTTTACTCCCTTGCTCTTGCATGGCGTATGAAGAGACATAGAAGGGAGTTTTTTACCTGATGAAGTTTAGAGACTCTCTAGGCAATGGAAGAGAATTTCCACTGAAACTGTGGTCAGCCCAGAGGGGAAAAAAATCCAATGTGCTCCAACAACCAAATGCCAAAGATGTGTAACAACTCTGACTGCTAACGTCAGCCCTCAGACTTTTGAAAACATCAGTGCAACCAGATTTCCCATGTTGAATGGAAAACAAGTATATTCAAAAAAAGTACAGCATTTCCCCACCTCCATGAGAGAACGAAGATCTGCTGGTGGCTGACTACTTACATATTTTTATGGATCTTTCAAAGTGGCTGCAATCTTTGATGTATTATCATTTCCTATGAATGCTGTGAAAACTGCGAGACTGTTTGCATTTGTTTGTATTGCTGATTGCCATCTATTAAATTTTTTGCACTTCCTCACAGTATGTGCTGGGCAGAGAGACCTTTTTTATATAACAAACGCCCATGCTCTGAAAAAGGATATAGGCTTTACTTAATGTTTTTTTTTGTTTGTTTGTTTGTTTGCTTGCTTTTTAATTTATGTTGGCTATAATGACAAGATGCCTTTTTTTTTTTCTGAATTGCTACTTTAAATTTTCTGATGCAAGGAAATAATTGCAAACTAAATGATACCCATGACTATATATATTCCCACAGATTTCCAATCTGGGAAACATGTAGGACTGTGGAATTGTGGCTGATACTTCTCTGGGATTCACTTTGACATATCACAAGATACAAAGCAGCTATTTGCTAAAAACGTATTTGTTTGTAATTATTGCAGAAATCATGCATGAATTCTGTGTGTGAGGGATGATGTTTTTTAAAACTGGATGCAGTGCAGGACTTCACACACTATTTTGCATGCATAAGTATTCCCATTAAACTGAAACATTCCTGTCTGAGTGAAACAAGTGCTTAACTATTTGCTGTTGGTGATCTTAGTTTCTAACATATAGAGATACTGAAAAGTATCAAAAAGGCAGTGGGAACTAACCTAGCTTCTTTGGTTTCTGAAAACCAGCTGTTTTGCTGAACAGTCCCATCTTGGTTCCCAGGGTTAAGAATGACCTTTGGGGCACATTTTTGTTAACATGCATGGTGAGATTATCTATTATATGCCATATAAAACCATATTTTTACGAAGTGTGGACTGAAGTGTTCCACAATGGGTGACTCTCACTTTTGAAAGCTTTCAATGCAAAGAAGGCAATCACAGATCAAGTAAAAGAGATAAATAATTATTTTGCCTGCAGACCATAACTATTATCTTGCTTTCAATAAAAATTTGTAGCAGTCTCATGTTTTCAAGCAAAGGCTGACATTTTGTAGCTGTTTTTCTGAAAAAAAAAAAAAAAAAAAAGCAATAAAAGAAAAAAAGCTAAATGTCATCTGAGTCGCAAGGCTTTGCAAACTGCAAACATCAGGTTGCAGGTGGTCAGCAGAGATGTATTAGAGGTTGGCAGCTAAATTTGCCTGAAATTCACAAATTTCTGCTGCAAAGCTGTGCCTGCACAGGGCATGGGGTGCTTAGCAAAGCTCCTTGCAACTCTTTCAGCTGCCAGTCAGGATAGATTAATTATGAACAGAAAAGTCTTCACAGTCCTCCTTCCCAGAGAGTGGGGAGGTAAAGTAGGAAAATAAAAACGGGAGTGAGAAAGGAAGTCCTACAAGTCAGAACAACATGAAAGCAGACTGAAGATGGGACTGGAAATCTGGGAGGCAATATTGCAGGGAGGCAAGGGAAGAACAGTGGTAATAAGCTGAGAGGAGAAATAGCAGAATTTGTACCATAGCAGAGCAGTTAAATCTACAAAGTAGATTTGAGTAAGACCTCCAAATCCACAACTGTCTTTATTTTAGTACTCTAAAGTGGTTATAGAAAATACACACCAAGCCTCCTGGGATCTATATTACCCTTGCTGAAGGTACTGGTGCAAGCATAAGCAGGAGAGGGTTGTGATTTGCATCCATTCTGAAGGATTTTAGCCTGTTGATATGAGAGTCAAAGCAATTCTTCCCAGCAGAACTCTACCCCCAGAAAAAAATATATATACAAAATCTTAAAAGAGCTGAGAGGTACTCTAAGGCTGCCTTCAGAAACACAAACCAACCAGATGATACATAGTATAACAAAAGGTTATGGAAGAGGATGCATACACAGCTAGAAAATGAGAACTGTATGTGAATGACCTCAAAAGAGAGAGTCCTTAAATTTTAATACCGTTACTTTGCAGCCTTTATATTTTTCGAGTTGTTTTTGTGTGCTTCATTACGTGAATATCTCTAAGCAGAAAAATGTATAGAATTGCTTAGTAACTACTATGCAAATACTTTTTTTTCATCTTTAGCAACAGAATCAGGTGGTTGGCAATGCCTGCTTTCCTGAATGTGCCTTGAGGAAACATGGGAAATGAACAGATTTTGTTTTCTCAGTTAAAATATTAATGAAATTAAAAGCAGAGTACTGAATTTTGCTTTGATGTATTTCAGTTGTTTCACATGGCTTTCAGTTTGAGCACCTTTTATTTATTTATCTATCTATCTATCTATCTATTTAAAATTTTAACAAATCTGCCTGCTACTAATTCTCAGTTTGTGGCAGAAAAAGAAGAAAAAGAGACATGAACATATGCTCTGAAAGAGAGGATCCTTCGCATTTGGATTTCAGAGAGTTTAGTCACTCCTTGAGCCCAATAACCTTACAAATTAATTCCTTTTGCTTGCAGTGACATCTGTTGGTGAGGGCAGAGCTGATTAACTGCAAGGCTGGCTACACTGATGGCATCACTCAACAGGCTGTTTTTAAATGCAGTTGATGTTTCTCCTCTCTTCCCACCGTCTCATTTTCAAGAGGAAGGAAGTGGTTTTGGAGGAGCTGATATATTCAAATCCAGCAGTGAGATTTCATTCTGAACCGTGGTCTTTTTTCTTGATGTTCTTTTATTGTTAATCTTAAAATTTTAATGAGAAGAAATTTTTTGTTACAGTGATTACAAATTAAGTGGGACAAGACGTACGTCTATGCCAATCTCACACAGAGTTGTGTTCTGCAGCTTGATGAGCTTATGAGGCTGTGTTTAATGGGCTCTGCTTTCAATTCACTTGTTCAAGGCGCAGCTTCTAAATACTAATCAAGCATCTCTGATGGCCCACAGCAAAAAAAAATTAAAAAGAAATAAGGATGGGGAAGGGTGCTGAGGTTGGAAGGAGGGAACAGAGAGCAAGAAGCTGCAGGTATTAAGCATCAGCTAAACAATTCCTATTGACTCTGCCCTTTAGTGCACTAACAAGAAGGACTACACGCACTTGTGTCTTTTAACACACAACAAGATACAAATACAGCTGGAGGACTCAAAGAAGTTGAGATTTTTGTAAGATTTCTTCATTGTTAAACTATCCTACAAATGTCTGAGATATGACCAGGGGGACTGTAAGAGTCTGTGCACCAGTTCAGGAGTGTTGCAATCAATTTACTTTGCTGTGTTCTAGAGCAGTTTGCTGTTGTAAAAATAAATAAGTAAATAAATAAAAAGAACCCAAATGTGAAAAGTATTCATGGCTAGAAGGCTTTTTTTTCCCTGAACAAATAGCACAGATAGAAGTCTTGCAGCTTGTCTGACTTAAGTCTCAATATACTGGCAGTTATTTGAGCTATCATCTAATGCAATTGATTTGACTGTAAGTACATTGTGCATAATGGTATTTTATTATTTCGTGTTATTAATTAAATCATAGCCCAAGTTCTTCCAGCCTTAAGAAGTGTTGAACCTGGCTGGTGAAACATGAATATTTGGTACTAACAGAAGACTATGCTGTTCATTCGAACTTATCCTCTGGGATCTTCTCTACAAAAGTCATTAACAATGAAGTTTTTCTATCCTCCTTAAACTTTGCAGCTGAATAATAGGCAGTCAAATGTATCAATAAAGAGCTGATCCATTTTCTGGGAGGACATGTTTATATAAATGTCAATGGGTCTAAGTGCCTACTGAAATGGAATATTGACATAGTTCTGAAGGAATAAAACAACAAGTTAAAAAAAAACAACCCTGAAACTCAAAAATCACAAAGGTCACACAGACATGTTAATAGAATGAAATAAAAATGACTGAAAGCTTAGTAGCAAGTCCTCCGTCAACATATATCATAGATAATATATTTATCCATAATAAAGCTCAGCATAAATTGTCATCTGGATGCATGAATATGCTGCTTCTTTTTTTTTTTTTTTCTTTGTTTTTCTTTTTTTTTTTGTATTTCACAAAGCAGAAAAAATCAGGAGATTGAAGGAATTGCTCTTTAGCCTTCTCTTGCTTGAAGCTTATTTTAAATGGCAAGAATTTAATAACTTGATTTACTTTCCGCAAAGATGAAACAGTAACTATTTCTAAACATCTTAGGAATTTGTGTTCAAGCTCTGATAACATACATTAAGGCCAAAATATCAAAATGATTTTGAAGTCATACATGGGCGCTTTACATTATTTTTTCCAATATGCTTAAACTGAACAGGCCCTTTAGAGGATTCCAAGGTTCACAACCCTTCTTTGTGTGCTCCTGCTGCAGGGGCTGTTGTCACAGTTAGCCAGCTACTTCCAAGAAAATAAATAGGGATTCGATTGCAAGAAATTTCATTGTGACTGTTCCAAGACTTTGAAAGTTCCCAATGGAAAGCAAAACTATTGCAATTTTTTTTCCTTAGTGGACAGCTGGAAAAGTTTCAAGTTCAATGAAACAGCAAAAAGTAAAATGTAGCTTGCCACATTGCTTAATTGAGTGTTTATCATGTCTGATATTTTTGCCACTTTATTATGATCACAGTACCTGCCATGGGTATCTGTTCAGTACGAGGGAACGCAGTAGAGGAGAGGATGTGGCACACTCCTACACCCTGTTGTGTACAGACACCAGCTGGTGAGGTGTCTGGTGACTCCTCTTTTCCAAGATTTCTTATCAGTTAGCTCATGCTTACCATCAGTCAGCTTACTGTGATTTCAAAAACCTTTAATGATGAAATGAAAGTCTCCTTACATTTCTCTTTCCACTGAAGGCAATGCTGGGGTTGTCTCCAAGATGTATTTATTAAAGCTGGTTATTAATTTGTGCTTCTTGACCAGCCCCAGTACTACCTGAATGTTGGTCCAGTTGGCAAGTCCTTTCATTATCACAAAGTGTAAAATCCTTCTCAGAGCTTGGCATCTTCAGGCCCCTACTTTCATTCCTCTAGATCAGCCAACACAGTGTTTTAAGTATTTTGTGCTTGTGAGATGGCTAACAGAGTTGGCATCTGGGGCTACCTCCCTCCAAATGAAACTGAATACGATTAAAGGTTGAAAAAGTGAAGACAAAGTAATTGATAGAGATTCTCAGCAATTCTATCTGAAGAACTACTAAGACAATCAGTCTTAGATTTCTGTAAGTCTTTCTTAAGCTATACTGTTGGTACTTGCTTGGATTTTTTTTTTCTTTATTTTTATTTTCTGATTTTCAGTTTTGTTTTTTTTTTTTTTAACTTTGTTTTGCTTAGTTTCCTCACAAAAGGGAGAGGGAAAAATTGAAAACAATATTGTTTTCCATTTCCATCCCTTTGTCAACAGAAAAAGGTAAAACGATCCTTTTTTACAAAATTTGAAAACAATGTGGGCACTTTCAAGATGTTCAAAACTAATATTTCAACACTATGGCTCATTCTAGGAAAGAAGAATGTGAGGTATTACTGAAATACAAGCTCAAAAAATTTCATGGATAAAATACTTTGCATATTATATATCATAAAGAAGAGATGTAACCCATCAAGCAGTAAATGGGTTGATTAAGAGATAAGGTCGTGCTTGTCTGTATAGCTTCTCTCAAAATAGGTCAAACTGACATCAAAACACACAATTTGCAGAAAAGATGTGAAACATCTTTATTTAATGCTGTAAGACAATTGCAGAGATCATTCTATTGGCTCAATGCTGCTAGAAGGGAATGAGAGGCAGGAGGTATAATATAATACTATATATATATAATATAATACTATATATATATAATACTGGGTTGTGGTTCTGTTTGCTTTTGACCTAAGAATTTAGAAAAGACCTTACAACTTTTAGGTAGTCAAAATTCTCTTTCAAATATCAAGTGATAGTTTCTGTATAAAATCAGTTCATCACAAAGGTAATTTTTAGTTATACTTTTGATGTTTTTTCAAATACGCTTCATTAAATATATTCAACTTCACTCTTCATATAATTTTAGTGGATAAATTAAAACATATTTTAGGAACTGTGTCTACTTTAAAATATG